ATATTTGCGAAAAACCGCGTACTCTGGTATATCAGTCAGCGGGGTGTTACAAAAGGCGGAAGCAGTTTTAAATAATTAGACCACAATCCTCCGTCGTGCACGCAATACTAACCTGAATCCATGAAGAGCAGGTGGGGGTGAGCACAAAAGGAAACGATACTGCTCACCACTATGCAGTAAACGTTATCCACAATAATGAAACAATAATCAATAATCAATAAGGTATGGTCTCAGCATGTATACGAAACAATTATCTATCCCATTCCCCATCAATAATATCAGTAATCAAGACTCATGTGTACACACCTATCATTAGCTACTGTTGGTCTTTTCGAAGGCATCACCATGTGTCTTACATCGTCATCCAACAGTAGGAGTACATGTCGAAGGCATCGCCATGTGTCTTACATCGACATTTATTTTGAAGGCATCGCCATGTGACTTACATCGACAAACATATCGAAGGCATCGTCATGTGACTTACATCGATATGGCGCAGCGTGGATCTTATGGGAGAAATCTTATCAAGGGGATAACCGTTCGACGACAGGTACAACTCACATCGAAGGCTACATGGTTCACATGCACACATTGATCATAACACAATAATCATTAATAACATTTACAGCATAGGAAATTTCAAATAAAACCCACTTGGTCTCCGGAGAATAGAACAATCACAGAAATTGGGTAGGCAGGCCGAGAACACAGCTCGTCAAACACCTACGATTATTAAAATAGCATATAAACGTCAATCCGACACCAAGATCGTCATAATTAAGGCACGTAAGGTTCACCCCATCAACACATAAACAAACTCAGCCCATATAAATCACATAAGCAAATACTTAGAAAGGATTTCCATTTTCGAAAACATAACATAAGTTTTTTGAAACTTAACCCGTGCAGCGATTTTGAAAACAACACAACTTGCAGCATATAAGTCGAATAAGCACTATTCAAATTGAATATGAATTCTAAGACATGTCTCTACAATTATCATGAAGACATCGAAAACAAATAAGGGCATTTAGCAGGAGATAACTCGACAAACATATTAACCTAGATGCAGTCAGAAAAACTGAAACATTATTCATGTAGAGCCTCAGTATTTATCGAAGAATTTAAGCTACAGGCCTTCAAATGACTCGATCCGAAAACCAAAATGTAACTAACTCAATTATCTACATCTTCGCTGAAGACCCTATTGACAAATAATGATGTCATCCCTGTGTGGAAACACAAAATATTCGACTCATAAACACTGCCAAAAACTAATTTTGGGATACGAACAACCCTTTAGTTATTAGACTCTAACTCATTCTAAAAAACTTCAAAAGACCTGGTTGAAAACCCCACGGACAGCCAAAAAGCAAGGCAACAATTTTCATGAAGATCACTTCTCAATTTGAGCACATAAAAACATCGAAAACAAGCCACACATAAAATATTACAAGCTGCCGGGTTTGTTAAAAACTGCTTGCGCAATAATTTTGTAAAAATGATAACTCATTCGTTTCAAATCGAAGTTACATGAATCCAAAGCCCGGAGAAAGCCAAATGAAAATACTACGATTGATATGAAGATTACAACTTCAGAAAACGAGTTCCTGAGGCCCTTAATAGAGGCACAACAGATCAACTATAATAACATAACTCATGAATTTCATCTAATTTTTTTAATCTCTATATCAAAAGCAACACCTATTAAATCACCAAAACAACATCTTAAGCACCTTATAACATCATTATCGCACATATAAACAAGGGGAGAGTTTCACGGTTAACATGCCATCACATAACTCGAACAAAACTCGACATAGAGCACCACATAAACATAATAACACATATACATATGAACCCTAGCTTCAAAATAGGCAAAGAACTACAACATAACTCATATATACATAAACCCTTAACATGAAATTAACATCAATGGATAATCACATAGAACAATAATACATAAATACGAAAGGGGAATCGAGCCTCGGTACCATTCTCAGGCAAAGGTACACGAAAGGGTGGAAATGGGGCTAAAATGGGCTATACAAATGCGCCGACGGGGCTCGACGGCTAAGCTTCGGCTCTCTCGAGGTTTGTGCGAGTGATCAGCGGGGTCGGGCAGCGATGAACGGGACCCAACGGTGACGAACAACAACTAGCAGGGAGTGAACAAGGACAATCCGCGTCGCCGGTGCTCTTGCGATCGTGAAACTGTTCGCTGGGGGTACGTGTGGTGCTGCTGGTCCGAAAGAGGGGCAACGATGGCGACGTGACTCACACCGGGAATCAGTTCGCGGGGCTTGGTCACGACGAACAAAGGGGATGATGATCGACCTGTACAAGGCCGGTGGTGGTAATTGACGGCTGCTAGTTCACGCCGGGAAACAGGGGTTGCTGCTGCTCGCGGGCGGAGGGGAGCCCGCCGTGGTGGTCGCTGGAAAAACCAACAAAGGAAGATGAACGGGAAGGTCTTGCTTAGTTCAATGGTCTAGTTCTCGTCGTGGGTTCATAGAGACGCACGAGCAGCAGCGATGGCGGGGATGATGTGCGGCAGCAGAGACGGCTCGCTGGGACTCTCGAGGAGGATGACGGACAGCGACGGCGGGGCTCGCAAGCAGGGTCGTACAAGTGGCACCGGAAAAGGAACTCACCGTCGTGTTGTTGCTTCTAGACGTTGGGGGCCCGCGGTGGCGGTGCTGCTCATGATGGTGGTGATGGGACGGGCAGCGGTTGTAGTGGCCGGAGATTATGGTGGCGCGCGGAGGAGTTCAAGAGAGATGGAGAGCGACAACGATTTCCTCTTCTATTTTTTTTTTTATATAAGCGAGAGATCGAGAGATTGAGTTTGACGGTGAAAGGGGGGATATGGTGTTCTGCTCAATATACACGGGCGTGAAATAGGTTTGTAAGTGGGCCGAGATTCTATCGCAATTCGGCCGAAAAAGTATGGGAAATTTACATATATAGAGCCTCTATATCAAATATTTACATATATACGTTTTTTATAATTTTTCATCAAAATAGGATTTTGATGGGATCTTTTTTTCATGCTCTTTTATTTCTCTCTCTCTCTCCATATATTAAACCTCCAATTAATTCTCTCTCACTCTCTCTTATTAATTTATCTCCAATTAATTCTCTCTCTCCATGATATATATATTTCTTCTCTCTCTACAAAAACATTAGATGAAAAAAGGCATAGAAGGATTCAGTGTGATGGATTTTACAAAAGATTTGTTGCAAAATATTATGTTAAAACCAAAAAATTATACATAAGATAAGCATCAGATAAACAAGTCTATAGAAAAATATAAATAAGATAAACAACTCTATCACAATTGGATCCGTTGCAAAAACTTCATTGCATCCTGATTATTTTTTCATACCTTGACATAATATATACATACATATATATATATATATATATATATATATACACACACAAGATAAATAGAATATAAACAAATTTCTGATTATGCAATAACCAACACCAGAACAAAAAGTGTATATATATACATAAAATAAACAGTATATAAACATCTTTGATTCTGCAACAAGCTTGTAACATGAGAACAAAAATTGTATATAAACACCATATAAAACATTTCTCAAAACCCAATATACATATGACATCACAAAAAAATAACAATAATAAATAAATCCACAGCCGCCTCTAGTGGCACCACCACCCCGGTGGTCCCCCAACTCCGGCCAGTACCTCATGAAGGTCGGCCTCAGCACCCCTCCCGTCGACATCCTCGCGATCCTCTCGGCGATGGGCTGCTCTTGCGGCGGGTGGACATCTCGTCGACATCACCACCGCCTCCGCTGGCACCACCACCCCGGCTTGCTCGCGATGGGCTGCTCTTGCGGCGGGTGGCTCGTCGGACATGAAGGGTTGATCGGATTTTGCTGGGAATTAAAGGGCGATTTTGGAGAGAGATATGGGCAAATTTTCATATCTGAAAATTGTGAAGACGCGTATGGAAAAGGGAGAAGATGAGGCTGACACCATTGCCCCTCAATTTCTTTTCTCCTCAACCTTGTTTGCTTCGTCTTCGCCATGATACAGTCTTTTTGAGTATGAGGGATAAGATAGATAAGAGAGATGAGAGATGAGCGAGAAATATGAGAGAGAATTTTTATTTCTGTGTATAGGATGAGAGAGAAATATGAGCGAGATGTATGAGAGAAAGTTTTTGATATACACTCGTATTTTTTATGAATCTTTTGTTTTCACGTAAATGAAAAATTATTTACTCAACTGAATGTAAACTATGTTATTTTCTCAAAAAATATAAGTTCGATTTGGCCGAATGAAATAGCTTAAAGGGGCTATAGAATTAGATGCGACAATGGCCAATTATTGGTCTCGAATAAATTCTAAAGAAATGAGAAAATAAAAATATCCGGATATTATATATATAAATACACACAATATTATTTATTTTATAATACTATCATTTAAACACATAATAACAATTATGCAATTAGACAGTTAATGACAAATAAATAATAGTAATAATAATAATAATAATAATAATAATAATAATAATAATAATAATAATAATAATAAGACAAATAATAATAGCAATAATTAATCAATTAGACAAATAATAGAATAATAATAATATCTGAAAATAAATCCAATAATCGAACGGGTTAAATCCGAACTACGCAAAGATTCTCTCGGTTGAGAGTAAACTTCTCTCGTTGAGAGTACAATTATCTTGTTGAGATCCTGAATTCTTCTGCTGGGAGTTCATTCTTACGCTCTTTGAATTGTGAGTTGTGAGGTTTTTCGGTCTTGTGATATCAGGTCATTTTTCTAGGTTTTTCTTTTTTCGGTGCTAGGGCTATTTTCAGTAGCCTGCAATGGGTGATTCGAGTGGTGGAAAGGATGTTGGGTGTGATTTGGGGGGGGGATGTGCTTCGAAAGCTCAATGCATGTTCGTTATCGGAAAAAGAGGCAGGGGGAGTCGAACTGCTAGTAGATGATGTAAAAGCGGGTGTCGAAGAATGTGAAGGAAGTCTATTTGGTAAAGTCGTAGGGGATAGACCGGCGAGTATAATGGGGATCAAACATGCTATGAGTAGCATCTGGAAACTTCAGCAGGCGATGGAGGTGAAGAAAATCAGTTCTAATTTTTTTCAATTCCTATTTACATCAATGGAGGATAAAGCAAAGGTGGTGGCAGGAAATAATTGGCTCTTCGAGAACCAGTATCTTGTTTTAACGGAGAGGTTTCCTGGTCTTCACAGTTCTCACTCGTGTTTTGAGGAAATCAACATTTGGGTCCAGGTGCAAAATGTCCCTCTGAACCGGATGTGCACGGAGGTGGGGATGAGAATAGGCCAGATTTATAATAGAGTGAAGAATGTGGTTGTTTGTAAAGTGGGAGGAGAAGTGGGGAGCTTAATCAAAATTCTTGCTGTTTTGAGTCTAAGAGAGCCTATTCCAAGATGTCCCTCTGAACTGGGTCCACATTTGGGTCCAAGATGTCCCTCTGAAATCAACATTTGGGTCCAGGTGCAAAATGTCCCTCTGAACTGGATGTGCACGGAGGTGGGGATGAGAATAGGCCAGATTTTCAATAGAGTGAAGAATGTGGTTGTTTGTAAAGTGGGAGGAGAAGTGGGGAGCTTCATCAAAATTCTTGCTGTTTTGAGTCTAAGAGAGCCTATTCCAAGATGCACAGTTGTTAAGCTGGGAGACCAACGCATTACGGTTGTATTCAGATATGAGAGGCTGGTCAACTTGTGTCATTATTGTGGGATGATCGGGCATTTGGACAGGGGCTGTAAGCGCAGGGCTGAGGATATTGAAAAAGGGCCACTGAAGGAAGGTCAATTTGGAGAATGGCTGAAAGCAAAAGAGACTTACCATGGGGGAAGAACTTTCCAGGCTAGTAGTTCAGGGGAAAAAAGTGCCCCTCCTCAACAAAATTCAAATCAAGATTCCATTGTCTTTGCAAATGAATCCCCTATCAAAAATGCTCAATCTGCTGTTGAGGTGTGTAAGGACAATCCAGGAAATGAGAGAAGTGAGTTTGGAGCAGCAGAGGCCCACAGTCAGATGCCAGTGGGCCTAGAGATTGTGCCTGCGCAAGTGGAACCTACTCCAACAGTTATTATGACCTTGGGGGAGAAGATGGAATTCCCTATGGAAGTTGAACAACAAGGAGTGAGTATTATCCCAAATATAGAGATGCAAATAAAAGAAAATGTGAAGGGGCTGGTTGAGGCAAAAACAGTGTCCACTTGGAGGAGGAAATAGAAGAGTGTAGGCAGATTGGTGAGAATGGCTTCTGATAACGGAGAAATGAAAGTTTCTTCAGGGCTGAACAATGAAGATGGAGCAACTACATCTTTGAAGAGAAGCAGAGAGGTTGTTCTATACAAAGGAGAACCTCTGGGATCAGAGGAGGGTGCAGAAAAGAAGGTAAAAGTTGATGGTGCTGATGATAAGGAGGAGAAGGCCAGCCTCAAATGGCCCCGAGGTGATCAATGAAGGTTAAGGTGTGGAGTTGTAGAGGGCTGGGTGTGCCCTCTACAATTTCCCAGATCAAGGACTCTATAAGAGGCCACCACCCTAATATTATATGTCTATCAGAAACAAAGAAGTCTTGGGCATTTACTAATACTGTTTGCAGAAAGCTGGGTTTTGGAAGTAGGTGGTTTTTGGAGAAGCCAATGGGGACCAGAGGGGGTATGCTGGTAATGTGGGATGTGGATACAGAGATAAAACACATTATAGCAAATGATTTCTGTATACAAACGGAGGTTAAAGGGCTTGGAATGAGAGAGTGGTGTTGGGTAATATTTGTATATATGAGCACTGACAGGAATGTTAGAATTAGTCAATGGGAGTTCTTGGTGGATAATAAAAGCAATTGGGGAAGTTGTTGGGCTTTGGCAGGGGACTGGAATGACATTATTAGCAATGATGAGAAGAGAGGAGGAGTGAGGAGGCAGGAGTCTAGCTTCAGTGGGTTTAAGAATTTCATAGGAAACATGGGAATGTTAGAGGTGGAGCAGAAAGGGGCTTTCTATACTTGGGGGAACAATAGAGTTGGAGATGGATATGTAGAAGAATGGCTTGAAAAAGTCTTTGTCTCTTATGACTGGTTGCTGACTTTCCCAAAGATGGAGGCTTTTAACTTCTATAGGACTGCCTCTGACCACAATGCAATAATTTTTTATACTGAGGTGGAAGTTCACTGTAGGAGAAGAAGATTTGTTTTTGATAAATCTTGGGTGAAGCAGGAGGGTATCACAGATGTGGTGATGGAAGGGTGGCATATTTCAGTTGATGGGTCTCATATGTATCAAGTTCACCAAAAAATTAAAAACACAAGGATGGCTCTGTTATCATGGCATAAACCACTGCATAGAAACAGTGAAAAAGCAGTCAAAATTCTCACAGAGAAAATGGAGGATATGAGGAACAATGGATTGGATAGGGACTGGGAAGAGTGGGCAAGTACTAAGGCTGAGCTTGATCAGGCTCATAAAGAGGAAGAAAATTATTGGAGGCTGAAATCGAGGGCTTTGTGGCTAAAAGAAGGGGACCAGAACTCCCGATTTTTTCATGCGTTCACTGCTCAAAGGAGGAAATCTAACTCTATTTACAGGCTGGTTACAAATGGTGGTGTGGTTTGTGATTCAAAAGAGACCATTGAGGCTCACATGGTGGAATTCTACACAAGTTTGTTTACCTCAGAAGGGAGCTCTGATAATGTTGAGATGCTGCAGCACATCCCCGGAACTATCACTGATGATCAGAATTCTATTCGTGTTCAACCGATTGAGGAGAAGGAGATTACAGCGGCTCTATTTATGATGGAGTCTGACAAGGAACCTGGGGAGGATGGTATTACTATCTATTTCTTCAAACACTTTTGGAATATTATAAAAGATGATGTTTGTGATGTAGTCAAAAGTTTTTTCTTATCTGGTAATATGTTGAAGAACTGGAAGCATACTGTAATTACTTTAATTCCAAAGTGTCTTTACCCGGATTCTCTGACCAATTTCAGACCTATTTCTCTGTGTGGTGTATTAGAAAGTAGTGGCAAAAATTATTGCTGAAAGACTGAAGCTGTGTTTAAATTCCTGCATTAGCAGTGCTCAGACTGCTTTTGTACCTGGTAGAAGTCTTTTAGACAATGTTGTTATAGCTCAGGAAGTTTTCCACTATCTGCACAGACACAAATCAGGACCTCATGCTTTTATGGCTGTTAAACTTGACATGGAGAAAGCTTATGATAGGGTAGAATGGAGCTGCATCAAGGTTATCGTGAGGAAATTGGGTTTTCATGGGAAGTTTGTCAATTGGATTCTTAGTTGCATCTCCCATCCTACCTTTTCTTTTAACTTGAATGGGGATAACTGTGGTTTTGTCAAAGCTACTAGGGGAATCAGGCAGGGTGACCCCCTGTCCCCATATCTGTTTATCATTGTTTCTGAGGTGCTTTCCTCTTATTTTCACTATTTGATGACTTCTGGACAGTTCAAAGGGATCAAAATTGCAAAGAATGCTCATATTTTGTCACACTTGTTATTTGCAGATGATGCACTTATGTTCTATAAGGCAGATGACTATCATTCTAGGTTGATGCTGAATATCTTACAGAATTATAAAGGGCTTACAGGTCAAAAGGTTAATCTTCACAAGTCCTCTATGTTCCTTGGTAGAAATTGCAGGCCTGATATGGTGAGCAGAATTAGTGCTATTCTTAGTGGGGTTGTGGTGAAGAGATCTTCGAGATATCTTGGTCTTCCTCTGGGTATTGGTGCTTCTAAAAGGGATGCATTTCAATTTGTTGAGGAGTCAGTGAAAGTCAGAATAGAAAGTTGGAAGAATAACTTGTTCTCACCTACTGGGAAGGAAGTGTTAATCAAATCCGTTTTGCAGGCCCTCCCAGTGTTTGTGATGTCTTGTTTTCTGCTCCCTATTTGCCTTTGCAAGAGCATATGCAGGTTAATGGCAAAATTCTGGTGGAGTAAGGGGAGTTCTCAGGAGAATAGTCTGCACTGGAAAGCTTGGGAGAAAATGGTCATTCCAAAAGTAAATGGAGGGCTGGGTTTTTTGGATATTCAGACCCTGAACAAAGCTCTCATCTTGAAATAACTATGGAGACTTGTAGATCAACCTGAGCTTCTGATGTCTAGAGTACTGAAAAGTAGATATTTTCCAGAGTCTTCTATTTTTGATTGGAAGGTTTCCCAGGGTAACTCTTGGTTGTGGAAATCTTGGGCATCTCTCATTCCTATTCTCAAAGGTCATCTGGATATATTGATTAGAAATGGGGCTGGAACAAAACTTTCTGATCATAATTGGGCCCATGGTGTAGCTGGAGGGAAACCTAATTTTAGAGTTCAGATCAATGAACACTTATTCTTTGTGAAGGATTTGCTCTTAGCTGGAGGATGCTGTTGGGATGAGGCCCTGGTAAAAGCCCTGTTCTCTGATGAAGATGCAAAGAAGATCTTGCTGATTAAAACATTGAATCCCAGGTTAGCTGATATGTGGAGATGCTCTTTTGTTGATAAAGGGGAATTTTCAGTAAAAAAAACCTATATATTACTTTCTGCTGGGAAACTGAGTGCTTCTGTGGGGGCTGAGTGTAGTTCTCTGGCTGCAAATAATAGTAGAGCAAGACTGAGATGTTGGAATATGAATGTTCAGGGCAAGGTTAAGCATTTCATCTAGCAATGCTTCACCAATATCTTGCCAGTTAATGTAAATCTCAAGTCTAGGGGGCTGGATTTGGATATTACCTGCAGAGTTTGTGGTGAAGCAGCAGAGACTCAGGAGCATGTATTATTTCAATGTGAAAGAGCAGTTAAAGTGTGGGGTATTGCCCATGTACAATGGAACAGAGTGGCACAAGAACAGCTGAGTTTCAAGCAATGGTGGTGGTGGATTTCTGCTATGAACTTTCAAGGAATATCTGAGGACAGAATCCAACTATCTACTTACATACTATGGTGGCTGTAGAAAGCTAGGTGCACTTGGGTGTTTGAAGGGAAGATGCAACCTGAAATCTGGGTAATTAAGGCGGCAGTCAGGGATTGGATTGATTTTTCGAACTCTCATTCTAGTGTATAATGGCTGGAAACCGAGGATGTGCTAGGCCTTACAGTGGCTCATCTTTCGTTCTCTTTAGCATTTTATGGGAGCATCTGTTTGTTTTGTTGATGTTTATTTCGAGTAGCTGATGTGTCTTATGTTTGTTAGTTTATTTCGGTTAGGTTGCCTTGGGCATGGCCTCCCTTTGTATCCAGGCGGGTTTTCCCCATTGTACATTTCCATTTTTATGGTTTATGAGAAGCATTATATCGTTGGAAAAAAAAAAAAAAAATCCGAACTACACGACTAAATTGAAACCGCCAGACAACGAACGTTTTAAAATAAAACGATTGAGTACTTAAACCTATAATTTAAGTATCTCACAACCAATACAATAAATATAACATCATAAATGAAAATTCGATAAATAGAATAATCCAAAAAATTCTATAAATCGAACAGGGCGCTACATGGCGCGCT